GCCCGTTGCCCTTCCTTACTTACTCAGACTATACTGTTGATGGCACGGTAGATATGGCGCGTCTACCCCGTTCGCGCCCAAACATGTCTGTAGGTACAAATTAATTCTGCCGTCGCCAATGTCGCGAGATCCAAAGAAGGAGGAAAAAGATGGTAAAAAAAAGTTAATTGAGTTCGAACGACGCAAGACCTGAGCCGGATTCGAACCGGCGACTCCCCGCTGACTTCTGCAGTCAAGAATTGGACAAGGGTATGATGCCTTCAACCACCAGGTCTGCACAGTCTTGCAATTGAGCTGAGCTTGTACTATTCACCACTCATCTTGATTTGATTTGAACAACCCGCGCGGATAATCGTACGTATACGATGATTGACGTTTCTTTGAACCACACATAGACATACATCCTCCATCCCCACTCTCGTTCGTTCGAGTGAAGAGCGGGAGTAAAAACGGTTCGATACTCTTACCAACGCCACCGAACTCGAACCCACGACTCCCGCTGAACCACTCCTACCACGGTTTTGATTCTGCCGTCACCCATCCCTGTCGCTAATTCAGAAGACTAACCAAGAGATGTTGGCAAAAAGCTACTTCTCAAACACACAACCACAACCTGGACCGGATTCGAACCGACGACTCCCGCGGACGCACTCGACAATGTATCAAGAATTAGACACGGGTGTGATGCCTTCAACCACCAGGTCTGCTTGACTCTATATTCGAACTGGGGTTGTACTACTCATTGGTTTGTTTTGCCGCACGATAATCATATGTAGACCTCAATTTTTGAACCACACATAAAACTCATCCTCCATCCCTACTGTCGTTCGAGTGAGGACGTTCGAGTGAGGAGTGGGAGAAGAATTCATTCAAAACAGTGCAAGATTACAATCAAAACAGTAAACGAGTATTTCATTACAACCTGGGCCGGACTCGAACCAACGACTCCCATTGAATCACTCAAGTTGCATCATGTTAGAGTTCGAGGAGTGACCGGGTCAACTCCGAGGTGGCCGAGATGCCGATCCGTCAGGTGGCTGGTCGCATTATTACTTTGTCGATGTTTTTCACCTTGTACAGTACGTGCACCACCGTCGTACTCTATCCACTTCCAAGTACCCTATCCACTGGCTTATAGCCCCCATAACCTTTAACAGGTTATGGGCCCCGCGCTCTAACTGCATCCGCCGAAACCTCGAAGCTTGTTTGCTCCAACCCCTATCTTTTCCCCCGGAAACTGGCCGACATTTCGAGGCTACAAGATGACACAATTCAAGCTCTGGTCACTTAGTTTGTCATTCAATATCGACCTTCGATGTCCCACTGGACTCTGCAGCTTCAATCACCTTGTCGGGACAATTACTGGCGACAAGCTTAGATTGACTGAAAACCACAAATACCTCTCAGTCAGAATGGATTTCTTGCTTACACCACGGTACACCCAGCAAGCTATCGATAACGTCCTTCCTGTGAACTTGGACATACCCTGAACGTCTTTCTTGACCAGATGCCGCCACATCAATTTTCAGCATGCCAGTCACGGTGAAAATCAACTCGCTGATGAATTCAAGATGAATCTGATGTCCCTCCGAACACTGTATTTCAACTCGGCGGTTCTGGATCGATCTATGTAATCTCCTGACGGGCAAGATCGTCGTTGACTGCTTCAATGCCCACATGCGTCCACATATGTGACTCGGATGGCATCTGACTTGCGTTGAAATAGCGCCAAGTCCCGGAATGATGCAAATTTCATTCTCTACCGCTTTCTCGCCATCTGCAGCCTCTTCCAACTGGCTCGTCATCCACTAACCCGAGCCGACTGCTCACTCTCACTCTGGCAGCAACATGCAACCCGGCCATCATCACTCCCCAAGCATCGATCAAAAAGGGGGGGACGACACTCAGTGACCGTACTGAGTCGCTCGCGACGAAGCAAACTTCACTCAGTCGTTCAATTGGCATCAAGATCCCCAGTTCACTATTGGACCTGGCCGTCCACTTCCGCACATCCGAATGTTGACAAGTTCACACAAGTTGAAGGCTTCTCAGATTTCAACAATCTCAGTCACGGAGGCGCCGTCGAATTCGCCTTGTTTGATCTTCACTACACTTGTCGTCCTCGACCTCGACCTGCTTCATATCTTTAGATTTCGTGACAACACCTTGAAACACTCTTTTCCCATTACTTTCAGCCGCATCGTTGAAGCTACACTAGGTCTTCTTCTAATATTCAATCTCCTCTGGATTTGACCACGCTATAATTGCAAACTACGAGAGTACTTCACTGGCCCTGGTCTGAACGACGTCTCATGCCATTGGTATCCACTTGTTCGACCACGACCTCGTTTAATGCCGAATCGGCCCTTAGCATGACTACGCTAAGTTTCCGGTTCAAAATCATTGCTCTTGATCTACTAACAGTGGTTTTAATCATCATAAATCACGGATGCGAGGGGGAGAGAGAGAAATTCTCATCCTGGCCTTTATGATGATAGAATAACTGTACATTGCAGCGTTAAACCTGAGCACAAAGCTGAGTTCCGATTCATTTATTCCAGTTTAACACTTAAAAATCCTTTCTGAGCTCAGAACTTGAATTGTTGGATAATGAAATCCAGAGGGACGACATCAAGAGAGCGTATCACCCAGAGATGACCCACAAGCAAACTTCGGTTATCACCACAAAGCTGAGTTTCTACTGAATACTCCACTATTTGAATATTTAAAATTTGTTTCACGGTTGAGAACCATGTTCCATGGCCAGTCATCGAATCTGGAGATGAAGTTGATGATTCCGCGACAACAGAAACACCTTAAAGCCTCGACGCAATACTACGCTGGCCTTCGCACCTCACCGGCGACTCGACTAAATTCGCTCCTCGGAATGACGATTTCTACCGCTCGCGACTAGGCATTCAACAGGAAGTTGATGTCGGAGGAATCCCACCGAACTCTGAGTGTTATTTGCATTCCTGTCTCTGTATGCTGATACATTGTCCGATACATTCACTACCAGAGACGTAGTCAGCAACATAATTGCCATTTCGCAACTAGCCTTCGAGCTTAACTACACGAACACTTCCCAATGATTTTCTCGACTTCTCAACATTCGAATGATACATATGAAGTCAATCTGCACAAATCAAAGCTGAGTTATCAACTTGTACTTCAAGCTCAATAATCTTGCTGTTATTTCCAGAATTCATAGGCGCTCACTGGGACCTCGGATGAAGGGGGGGTGAACATGAAGCAAACCAGCATCCGATGTTCCCAGATTAGCTTCTATATCTCGCGGCTCACACAGAGCTAAGTATTCGTCTTGAACTACTGCTGAAATGCCCTTACTCAAGTTCCACTCTATTAATTTTAGTCCAGCTTGGTATAGCCGACCGAGCAAAACACTGCCGCCAAATATTTTCTGCTTCCATTTTGGATCCACAAAAATACGGATCCTGACAATAAAATTGTCCCAAGGTTGGGCGCATTTGCGCTGGAATAATGTTCCAAATTTGCCAGAGAGCATACACTCCAAGCATAATCCGCCTTTGAGCGTAACTTCGCCTCCGAGCGTAATCCGCCTTCGAGCATAATCCGCCGTCGAGCGTAACCATGCCGCTGAGCATAACCTTTGCCATCGAGCATAACACTTTGCCATCGAGCGTAACCTTTGCCACCGAGCGTATCCCTATCATCGAGCGTACCTCTGCTCATCTGCCGAGCATTTGTTTTCTAGCATATATCTGTGCTAACCGACTCACTGTCTTCGAACATACCTTCATTCTAACTTATCCACTGATCTGGTTGGACACATACGGTGTTCACATCGAGTTCTCGATACGCGCTTTCGAACTTCACTTATCAGCTACGTCCAAATCTTATTTCAGAATGAATACAACTAATTCAAAACTCGACAGGTTCATTCATGAATTTGATGTGCTCTTCTGTGTTCACTATAGCCTTCCTCTCTCGGCTTTCACCTCTCACTGGCTGCCGCGCAAGCTGAACAGCCCAACATGATCATAATCTGCTTTCGAGCATAACTTTGCCTTTGAGCATAACTTATCTCCGCTTTCGAGCATAATTCTGTCACAGGACATCCAATTTGACGATGAGCACATTCTACTTATCCAATCTCCTCTCGAGTCAAAATAACTACTAATTCTCAAACTCAGGCGAACCATTTCATCCTCTCGAAACTTCTGCTTAGCAAAAATCTGAACCACAATTCCAATCAGCGAATGTAATGGCTCCAGGACATTGGTGCGCTGAGGTCGCACTCAGTAGCGTGGGCTTATGGTACTGTGGGTACTGAGGAGTACTCACTTTACCTCCCAAGTTCCGCAAGAGCCTAAAGGCCACAGTGCGGTTACGCCTGAAAAGGGAACTTGGGTTTTCCCTGATGTCTTTCCTCATCCCGACTAGGAGCTCGGCACATCTGCTCCCTATCCCTATTTTCCATTTTATTTTCCCTATCATCCACTCGCACTTGACGCCGGTCAAGGGGGGGTGTTAGAGTTCGAGGAGTGACCGGGTCAACTCCGAGGTGGCCGAGATGCCGATCCGTCAGGTGGCTGGTCGCATTATTACTTTGTCGATGTTTTTCACCTTGTACAGTACCACCACCGTCTTACTCTATCCACTTCCAAGTACCCTATCCACTGGCTTATAGCCCCCATAACCTTTAACACATCAGATGAATGAGATATGGGTGTGATGCCATCCACCACCAGGTCTCATGCTCGGACCTGCAATTGAGCTGAGTTGTACTGAATTTTCACTCGAATATCCCGCGCGAAAGTCTGAGACGACAACAATTGATGTAACCAAACCACACGTACCTTTTTGACCCCCATCCATCAAATTCATCCCTACTCGTTCGTTCGATTCAAAATGGACTGAGTGGGAGAGAGAAAACTCGATTTTGATTCTGCCATCGCCCATCCGTGTCGCGCGTTCAGAGATGTCGACAAAAAAAAACTCATCGCCATGGACATTGAAGACCTGGGTCGGATTCGAACCAACAACTCCCACTGAACTTTCAGAGGATTTCGATGAAATACGGGTGTGATACCGCGCCACCAGGTCTGCATACCCTAGAGATTCAGCTGGAGTTGTATTACTGGGTTCGAGCTTCGAGTTCCGCCAGACGCATCTTTAACTTACCTTCAACTCTTTTGAACCGCACATCAAGCATAATTCAACCTCCGGGGCACCGACTTCCGAAACGTCGTTGCCTATCCGACATAACCCGAGAGCCTATCGATGGAGCCCAAATTCATCTCCGAACCACTCGATCTCCGTTCTCGAACCTCATCGGAATTATCCTTTCCGTCGGATTCGGAACGTCAATTTCTGCGACATGTCTCCGGTGAGCGATTTCACTCGTTTCCCTTGTACCCCGCCGCTTGTTGCCCTTCCTTACTTACTTACTCAGAGTCCCAGTGTTGTAGTTAAGGTGTTAAGGGCTTAGTCTTAATAAGGGCTTAACCCTTATTAAGCTAAGGTCTTAATTTCAGGATGTATGTATCTGAAGCCCTTAACAACCCTTAACCGGCTGCTCCAGCGCATGGCGGGCTGCCGGCAATTAAAAAATGACTAATAAAATGGCAACCACATGGAAGTTGCTCTGGCCCGACTCCCTACTAAGTATGCTGGTGGTGCTTTTTGGCGGGGTTATTGCGAACCCCATTGCTCTCCCTACATGCAGATGTGCTGTCTCATAAGAAACCTTATACATGGAGCATCTTGCAGTCAAGCACAGTGACGAAGAGCCGGATGCTGGTGCTCAGGAGGGCTCTGGAGACGATTACAATGGATAATTGGGCACGGAAAACCAGATTCTCATGTTCTAGCAGCACCCGCCTTTTTGGGAAATAACCCTTAATATGACCCTTAATTTGGACACCCTTAATAAGCCTTAATTAAACTTAAGGTCTTAATCATGGAAAGCACCCTTAATAAGACCCTTAACTACAACACTGACTCAGACTATATTGTCGATGGCACGCTCTCGCCCTCGGAAGGTGCCTAGGCAGATGTGGCACGTCTACCCCGTTCACGCCCAAACATATGTGTAGGTAGGTACAAATTGATTCTGCCGTCGCCCATGTCGCGAGTTCTAAACGAGAGGAAAAGTTGACAAAAAAACAGTTCATGGAACGACGCAAGCAAGACCTGGGCCGGATTCGAACCGGCGACTCCTGCTGACTTCTCCGGCTGTCAAGCATTAGACACGGGTATGATGCCTTCAACCGCCAGGTCTGCACAGTCTTGCAATTGAGCTGAGCTTGTACTATTCACCACTCATCTTGATTTGATTTGAACAACCCGTGCGGATAATTGTACGTATACGATGATTGACATTTCTTTTAACCACACATATAAACATACATCCTCCATCCCTAGTCTCTTATAAACAGACATTATAACAGAGATTACTCGTACCTCGTATGTTATAGTCTGTCGATTGGCAGGTGTTCAATGATCGGAGGTCGACCTTATTAGGTAATCGTATTTTTTCTCGGGCGCTCAAGTAAAGATTGTAGGGCATCCTTGCCCAATTTTTTCTTGGAATATTGTTGAGTTCATCAGATTAAACAAATCTACCAACTAGTTTTGCCTCCACGGCGCTGTGAAGGCGGTGCCGAAATTTGATGGCACGGCAGCTTACAAATCTCGCCGTCTCAAAAACAAACGAGAACAAATATTCTGAAGAGACAGATTTGTCTTATGGGAGAATATATCCAGTTTTGTCTCCAAGTTTTGGGTGCTGGAGTGCTTGAAGGGCAGCCAGCATTGAGGAGGAATTTCAAACTCCGCACTTTACGTAATAAGGTCGACCTCCATACATCCGGTGCGTGGTTAACTACAGACTACTCCATCCCCACTCTCGTTCATTCGAGTGAAGAGCGGGAGTAAAAACGGTTCAATACTCTTACCAACGCCACCGAACTCGAACCCACGACTCCCGCTGAACCACTCCTACCACGGTTTTGATTCTGCCGTCGCCCATCCATGTCGCGAGCTCAGAAGACTAACCAAGAGATGTTGGCAAAAAGATTTCATTCGCACTGAATAACGACCTGGGCCGGATTCGAACCGACGACTCCCGCGTACGCACTCGACAATGTATCAAGAATTGGACACAGGTGTGATGCCTTCCACCACCAGATCTACTCAATGCTGGAATCAAGCTGGGGTTGTACAGTGCCCGTCATCACTTCTCCGCACGTGGTTTTCATGGTCAAAGGAATTTTTGTGATTTTTCTGTGATTTTCTGAGCCATGAAACCGATCAAAAGAATGTGATTGAGCACAAAAAGTCATTTTTTCCCATGGTGTTTCACTTTTTCGGGGTCCAGAAAAAAAAAAGTTGCCTCAAATCACCAGTATGTGTCACGATTTCGATCGTTCCAACGCCACGTGACCAGGACGATCTCGATCGGGTGAAAACAGAGGTATCTTGCCAGCCGGCGAATGTTGGGAGCTGGTTGGCAGGGGACTCTAGATTGGAAGGGGCTTCGTAGGGCAGTGCATCTGATAGACGGGATTGGGGCACGTGGGACTATGACATCATAGGCACATGGAAGGAGAGAGGCGCTGCGGCATGAGGCCTAGGAACCGCTTGCGTTGTACATTTAATTATATATGACAGGTTGATCGGTTTCATGATATTTATAGAATACATGCAGAGTACATGCACCACTGTAGAATAGTATAAGTAGTGTAGCTTGACGCTGTATTCTTTAGTCTTTTATTCCAGTTTCTTCTTCGCTCCTCTTACCCTCCACCCCCCAATCCCTTGTCACTCTGACTTGGGACGGAGACTGAGCCTAGTTGTGACATAATAAAAGACTACCCTTCTTACCTTCGTACCGCCCCCCACCCGACCATCCTTTCCCTTTCCCCCTACCCTCTATCCACTACTTGGTTTCTTACCTCTACTTGGACTCTCGTATTTGAAGATCCATTCTCCTTACTCCCCACCCACCGACATTCTCCTTCATCCACTGCGAAGTAAAACAATTGCAGCGCCAACTGTTTTCGGTCTATCATACAGACAGACGCTAGGCCACGGGAAACGTTGAGTCCGTCCCAAGCCACATAGCAGTCGTAGGAGTGCCAGCCGGACCTTCGGGGAAGACTGCCTCGCTATCGCCGGGAGGGTTGTAGAAGACCCGGGATAGTTCTGTTGCAAGTGATCGTTACAGCCCCACCCACCGCTCCGTGCGAATACAGCACGGCCCGTCGCAACGTATCGCGACACTCATACCCCATCGGACACCTCGTCCTCATCATCTCGATCCTCATCCCCGCCATCACCCCTATCCCTGTTCGAACCCCGACCCCCCACACCACCAAACCCGTATTTTCCTACACCCGTTGTAATTCCCCTTCGGCCCGCCATGCCGAGTTCCAAAGTCATCCTCGCCAACCCCCCGCCGTTCTTCAACGGCAACAAAGCCAAGTGGAATAACTTCCACGACACCCTCAGCACCTACATCGCCGCATACGACGATGAGTTGGACACCCAGAAGAAACGGGTGTTCTTCACCATTTCATTCCTCCGGAACGAAGACGGCTCGGACTGCCTTGCGGCAGACTGGGTCCGAAACTGGAAGAAGCGGACATTTGTCGCAGGAGTCCTTCCAGTCACCTACACCCACTCGGCACTGTTGGCCGATTTGGAGAGCGCGTTTAAGGACCAGAACCTTGCGCAAGTGGCGCACCAGCGCCTGACGGCGACGCGGCAGGGAAGCCGCTCGCTTGTCGAGTTCATCCAGCAGTTCGAGCTGGATGCGGAATTGGCCGGGTACAGCCCAAACTCGGCCAACACCGGGTACAACGCGTTCCTGGTGGAACTCCTGGAGGACTTAGTCGCCAAGGAGTTGGTCGAGCAGGTGTACGTGGGCGGGAACCAGATTCCCGACACGTACAAAGAGTTCAAAGATCGCCTGATGGTGATCAACGGGAACCAGGAGCGGAAGAAGCTCCGAGCGGCTCAGAGGAGCCGAATGTTCTGGACACCGGCAGCTAAGACAGCCCCGGTTGTCAAGGGGAACAGTCCAGGTTTCGGCTCGGCGCCGAACTTGGCAAAGAAGATCGGACCGGGGGAGGTTGCTCCGATGGATGTGGACAGGGCCAGACAGAATGCCCGTCCTTTTGTTTGCTATAATTGTGGCAAGGAGGGCCACATGAAGCGGGAGTGCCCAGAGCCTCCCAAGAAAAAATTCAATATCCGGTCGATTAAGGCCGAGGACTACTCGCAGGAGGATTTGGAGGCCCTGGCGGCCATTCTCCGTGAGAAGGGTTTTTAAAGGGGCCCCCGCTTGTGGCCAAAGCGGCGCCCCCTGTTCCGAAATTCGAGCGCTATTTAAATATTGACAATGTAGTTACCAAGGACTCTGATGATGATGATATATATACAGATGTAAATGCTAGTCTACGTAAGAGTATAAACGATTTTCTAGTAGCTAGTGTAGAAAAGCAACAAAAAATACGTATCTTGGAGAATCAGAATCGGAAACGTAATTTAAAAAACAAAAAGATGGATGAAAGGAATAAGGAGTGGAGCTCCTTCAAGAAAGCGTTCAAAAAGGCCCCTGGAACCCAAACCAGTGAGAAAAATAGCGAGACTAAAAAGGGCGGCGATGCCGCGAGGGCTCAATCCCAAACGAGGGAGGAAGCGCCCAAGGAGAGGACGGAACGGCATGGAGCAAAGCCGATAAAGGTGCCGTTCGGCTTGAAGAAGGCCGAGGCGGCAAGGTGGTTGGCACGGAGGGCAATGGGAATATCGGAGAACAAGCTCAAGGAGGAGCTGAGGGAACTCCAGAAGCAGAGGAAGCATCATGAGATGCTGGTTCCCGTCACATTAACGGTGTTGGATACTGGAAAGACACGTGCTGTCAAGGCTCTTCTCGATAACGGTTGCACCACCACATGTATTGATCGAGATTATGCCAAGGCTGAAGGCTTCGAACTCAAGGAGCTCGACGTGCACATCGTCGCCCGCAACGCTGATGGAACGGAGAACTCTCGGGGCAAGATCACTCACTATGTCGAGTTGATCATGTCAGTCGGACCCCA